CTTTCTTTCAAATATAATATTCTATTTCTGGTGATGAATTTGGAGACCGAAAGACAAAACCTAAATTACGCTCTCTACTTTTTGTTTCATGGAACTATTCATATTTTAATTTTAATTTTTTTTTCTCTTTTTTCAGTCCTTTTTTTTTCCTACTGGAATTGCAGAATGCACTGAATGTGATTCTGATTCCTAAGCTAATTAATAAAAGATGAGATTTACGAGGTCATATTTATGTAGGAATCTTAGAAAATCTGTTGGGTTTTAATGTAATAATATGTTGTCGGTCTGTAGATTAACTTAATTTATCCAACACCATAATCCGACATCCTTAATTAATACTCCATATTTAAAGTAATTTTGGGTTCAGTTAAGATGTTTGGATTCATTTGGGTAACAGAATAAAACAACTTCTGTCCTTCGAAATGATAAAAAGTAACGACTCTCAACATTCATTGTATTAGGATTATATAATTTCTCTTTAAATTACAAATTTAATCTTTAAACTAAATTAAATAAATGTTGACTAACTTGATTAAATAAATGTTGACTAATTTGATATGGAGTTGAAAAAATATGATATTTTCTTTAAGAAATAGGTATGTTAGGAAGCATAAGTTTAATTAGCGGTAATTAGTACTAGTTTCTAACCAACAAGTTATAAGTTCGAATTTCCCCATTCTCAAAAAAAATAAATAAATAAAAAATAAGTATGTTACATTGTCCACTCTTTTCAACCTGTTGTTTGTCACATCATGTCAAACCAACTCGATATTTGTCTAACAGGTATGTGCCACGATGAGTATTACATAGAATTATAATTCAAAATATTATTAGGAAACAAAAAACTATTAACTTTAAAGACAAAATGAAACTTTTTTCATCCTTGTTGGACAATGCTGTCAGATCAACAGGTGAATTTCAATGTTAGATGAAATGGTAAACTTTTGGCTCCTACCAGTCCAAGTTCATAGTCAACATAGAAATAAAATAGATCTGATTACTTCAATGTGAATAAATATCCATCCCTGAATCAACCATAATCAAACACAAAAATCTGGCTTCTGTAGAAAAAACTATACTACAAAGCAGTAATTTTATGTTACAATGGCCATAATGATTAAAATGTCAATGCCTCATTCAGCATTATCTGCACGAACTCGAAAACTTTAATCTGTAAAACAACGAAAGCTCGTTCGTATGTGTGCGGGTTTGACTACTGGCTCTCTTTTCACTCTAACAACAATGACTGAATATCTCTCAATCCTTGTGTGATGTTGTAAAATCAATTAACGGTGAAAATCCCTCAAGCTTCCAAGAATTATAACCCAGGGAAGTTTTACAGAGATCCATCAAGAAGCAGAAGGCAGGTGCAATCAGTTCTTATGTCATTCCAAAGAATATCAAAAAAATGGTTTCCTCAAATGGAATGTGGATCATTCGATATGTTCTCCTCCCTTCGCTCTTGAGAATTAACATGGTTTTTTTCGTCAGATGTCGAATGACCAGAATTTGAATTGGTTACAACCACTGTCGAATGTCTTTCGATAGTTTCTCTTTCGCTAACAGACTCGTCATCTGTGGTCGTTGACCCAACATATGTTATACCAAACTTCTGCCCGTGAGTCAGTCCTGGACAGACCCCCTGCGTGACATAACAATAAGAATCTATATGGTAAAAGATCAACCCAATTTAATCTGCCCATGGCCTAACGGCTGTTTGGAATTGCATTAATTTATGATGGCACTTCCCTTTTGGTATTTCTTTTACCTATTTAATTAATTCTCTTCCATCATCAGGTACATATAACCAACAAACACCTCTAACGACTCTAAGTATCCGTTCATGGTACATAGATCCGACAGTAGATGCAAATATGTCTCCTTTATAATAGTCTAAACCAATGATACCCAAGTGAGAAAAAAGGCTGTGGTATGAATGAATTAAGAGAGCAGTATAAATCAAGCTTAAAGAGGTTGAACCTATTACCCTGATCAGCACGGTTGTTGATGTCAACTCAGAAAAATCAGAGCTTGATGAAATTTCTATTGAACTTGTTCCCTCAGAGAATGTACTAACATTGGCTTCTTCGACATCAGTAGCATTATTTGTCTTACCAGATTCAGGGTCCACACTACTTTTACAAAAAGCCCCAAGATATGAACAATGTTCCCTAACTAGGGATATTTGAGGGGTTGCAGGCAATAAGTGGCCTTCTGTGCTAAAAACATACCTATAAAAGGAATTCATGCTTAGTTGCTTTTAAAAATATAGCAAATCAAGGTACAGACAATGGGTGTCCCATTAAAACATAGAACTTAAAAGAACCTATAACTTACTTGTATGGACCATTTTCCACAAGGTTGTCAGGACCCGCAGCCAAGTCAAAAAGAAGCCACAAGTATTTAACCTAATACAAAAAGTAACAGAAGTAAAGCAATGTTCTTTTCTCCTCTTTTTTTCTTTTTGTTTTTTGTGTGCTTGTGTGTCTGTGAGGATTTGTGGGGGAAGATTTTCCTCACCGTTTCAGCAAGGAAGAAGCTTTCCATGTGGTCTTCTTGCTTGTGAATCTCAACATCTGATATATGACAATATCCACATGGGCATCGGGCTCCATATTGCAAACTAGCAACCACGTCCCGTCCGGCATCAAGGTATCTATAGAAAAAGATGTCAGACATGGAACAATTTCAAGGCGAAATTCGGTGCCACAGAATAGTACATACACATCAACAAATTTGAAATACCAAAGATGTTTAGGTGGCAAACAGGAATACAGAAGAATCTGTGATCTAAAGCATTCCGGATTGGAGTTCTAGATTTCCAACGTTCACAATTTGAATCATTTTCATCTTTCAAAAATGAATAGTCAATCACTTTCTGCTAGAATTGCTAGTTGATTCAAAAGTGAAGCTATTATATTAATCATTTTTTTCTACCCCCATTAGAAATGAAAGGAGATATTAAAGAAGGCTAGTAGATCCACAACTTTTATGAATTTTATGTAAATACTACGTTCCTTCTTACACTAGAGTTTAGCAGGACCAGTATACACAAGATCAGAGCTCACCTGGGATTTCTGGTGGCTTTATAGAGCCAATAAGTGCTCTCTATTAATTCTGGACGCAGTGGATAACTTTTCTGCCCATGCTACAAGAATTCACAATGAATTGGATATATAATTATACAGAGGAAATAAAAAATAAAATCTCAATTATAATGGACACATGAGGTAAATTAGAGAAGCAACACCACAGGAACATGACAAGGTAAAATGTAAGTTGCAGTTTTTATCTTAGGTTTATCAGATTATAGGTTTCTGAACTACTATATTTTTCAGAAGAAGCTGAAGGAAAAAAGAACCTTAATAGAGGACAAAGGCCCTACCAATGACCATATGTGTATATATACAAACTCATGCACATAAACAGAGGTGGGTAGATGCAGGCTCAAGAAGCAGATATGAGAAGTATAGGTACGGACATTAGAAATGAATATGACATTAACTAGGACATACTGACAGGCAAACAAAATGGAGACATGTTCGTCCCCATCTTTATGAATTCCGCAATCCAGACTCCTACCTTTGTGGGAGTAAAAATCAGTTTATTATATGACCTTCCTATCTGGAAATGCTTACAGCTAAGGTACGAATACAAATAAATAACAACTTCCAACACTTCTTATCAAAATAATACAATAAAGAAATGGAAACTGTAGCAGCACGAAATCTTAAGCAGTTGCAATAATAATGATAATAATAACAGGAAGTAAAACGTATTACTTGTGACTTCATATACAGCATTGAAAATTAAGATACCTGAACACTGAGCGAAGCAAGATTGAAACCCTCAGGTGTAAATCCATATCTTTTCCAGACACTAAAAAATGCAGCATGTGTTCGAATTGCAGGGTCAATATCCCCTGCCAGAACCTTTCAAGACAAATAAAAGAATTTATCTAACTTTTGTTTTTGAAGTAGAATTTAGATAACTACAGAAAACATGATACACAATTGAAAGCCCAAAAACCTGAAGCCCTGGCCAGAATGCCTGCAAACTGTTGAATAACGGCCAGACGAGTGCTGCTGAGTCCATATTTACCTCAACATACCTACATGATGGATTAAAAACCAGTCTCAGTATCAAATTTAAGACACGTTCATTCATCATTTTAAAAATCAAAAATTAAAGGAGGGAAAATAAAATATCCTCCCCACGATTTGACATCGTATGCATAAACCCACCAAGGGTCATTGAATAGATAATGCATTGCAGCTCCGTAAGCTTCTTGAAATATGAATAGGTACTCTTCGTCTCCAAACAGAAGGTAAGCCTAAAAGCATTTATTACCAAAAAAAATAACAGTAAGAAAACTTTCAGGGTTATGGACTGGGATTAGCGATGCATGTATTGACACTTCTACTCGTATTGTTGTATACCAATCTATTCGAGCTTGCATAAGGAGATCCTTATTGAATACTTGCAAAATCAATCATTTGGCACTATACCATAGGATGATTATTGAAGACAAGACATCAGTACAATTGCCTAAAGTTTAAAGCCAGATGAAGTAAAAACTATGTATTGTCCATTTATCAATAGGAACCAATTGCTGTGCTTAAGGAAAGATAATAAATTGATGAAACAAAAGCAGCAGAAACTTCTCATGAAAGCAGAAGTGATTGATTCAATCATGGTGCAACTGCATAAACAAAGTGTTAAAGCTAGAATTTTCATTATCCTCGCTGAGCAGCAGAGGATATATGAATTAATAACTATATTGGAAGTGCATTAATCTATGAATCCGTCATTAGAAGCATCCTTAGAATGCCAAGATGTTGCTCAAAAACTGTTTTGGAATATTAGGCTAAAAGATAAGAACTCCGAAATCAAAAGTATCATGAATAATATTAAGTCCCTTCTATGTTTTTTGGACCACATAAAGATACAATTCCAACTTTAACATGAGCATGGCCAAAAGAAAGTCTGCATTGAAATAATAACACTTCATAAGAGTTCACAACTATAGTATCTTAATTTGAACGTTAAGTAGTTACCAACCTTCAATAAATACTCATAGAAAGAATCAATGCTCGTACCTACACCTGCATCCTGCAAGACAAGATATGAAGGGTAGATTCTTTTAGGATAACAGATTTTTCATTAGATCCAAAAACAGTAAACAAGAAAGAGGGAGATGAGAGAGAGAGAGCTAGACTTGTAGAGAGAGAAAAAGGATACCGTAGGACTCATGAATTCATGAACGAGCTTAAGAGAGCGAGAGGGAGAGAGAGAACTATGTGTTAGACTTATAGAGAAAGAAAAAGGATACTGCAGGACTCATGAATTCATGTATCCTTTCTTTTCTTTTCTTTTTTTCCTTTTCCTTGGTAACATATTTACTGAGTATTTTTCTTAGCCAGACTAAAACAAGAGCTAACATCTTCATCAAATATTTCAAAGGAAATGTGTTTATAGTAATTGTAAGCAAACAAGTGTTTACTAAGTTAATTTCAAGAGAAATGCAGAAGAAAATAAATCTTCAAAAGGGAAGGGAAAAATAATAATAATAAGTTCCACCTAATAAAGAGACTAGAAATCTGCCATCGCCCCCTGCAAAGCTGAAAATACCATAATTTCAAAATAGTCGTCCTCTTCTTGGCAACAAAGAAAATTTTTATTTCTATTGGATTTATAGAGGTACAAAAAGTGGGAGACCCCGACTTAAATAGCTTACAAGAACTTCTTTAAGAGATATTAAATACAGGTTTCCAATAATTGCTAAATGTTTATCTAAAATGCAAAAGAAGGAAGCAACAGATCCAGTAAGTGTTTGAATTTCCACCGAATCTTTAAAAGTCTCTAAAAAGATCTTGTTCTTTCATTCCAACCATAGCTCCCCCAGAAAGGCTCAGATAGTATTCAATCAAGTGTTTTTTTTTCACAATCCAAGTCCTCTGCTCCAAGTTATGCTAACATTGCTAAGTTTACCGTGAAAGGCCCAAGCAAAAATGACCAATAGAAAGTATAGTTAGATTGAAAAATAAGTAAGATCAGGATATAAAATTTTCAATTATCATAAACTTCCCTCCAATCTAATCATTTCTGCTATTCATGCCAGGAGAAGAGTTCAGAGAACTGCATAAACTATTGTGGTCTGCAACTATCGAGCATCAACAAAATGAACATGTAATGCATATATTATTGATTTTCATTGACATGAATGTTACCTTTTGTGTCCATTCACCTGTAAAAACATTAATATGTGCACCAACTAAATTAAGCTTTGAACGGCGTGCCCATAGTCCACGGACTGCATTCTTTGTTACTTGTTCAAAAACTGCGTTCCAATTGCAAATGAATGTGTGAAATCTTATGGAACACTTTGACTAAGTTTTCAGAGTTGAAATGGTAGTCAACCAACTTTCTAAAGCTGCCATATATGATACATGTCTATAGATACTTGCCAAGCATCAAGCAACAAGTTTGAGAGGGTAAGAAAGAAAAGAATGACAAATAATTCAAATTTTGAACTTGTTCAGTGGAGTCATTTTTAATAAGGTTCTCCCGTCAAGTTTCTCTTGAAATAAGAATGAAAATAATTTTATCATGAGTCACAATATAAATATCAGAAGTTGTAGCTATCCTTCACTGGAGCAATTCCGTTTTTTGTGGGTAAGAAAAAGATATTTCATGGATGATATGAAATATACAATAGAGGGAGATATTCCAATTACAAAATAGCTTTCCAATCAATCAAAAATTTGCTAAGACTACAATCTGAGAAAGGAGAATAAAATAATTTACACCATCCCAAAGCCAAAACAAAAACTTGATCATAGAATCTGTTGAAAGGGAGGGATTTGTTGTTGAAGATCCTGTTATTCCTTTCTCACCAAATGGTCCATAGGAAGGCTCGGATCAGTTGCACCATAGTATTCTTTCATCATTGGATCAATTCATGAACATAACGTTAGGCATCCAATTAACCGTGTACTCTAGGAGGGGGAAACGTACAATTATAGGTCTGACAATTAGTTAGATTTGAACTGGGTATATATATAGGAATGAGGACTTGAGCAGAGAGTTAGTTGTCAACTTTAAGCCTTAAGGTACTAGAGTGTAAAAGAGTGATTGGCCTTCTCAATTTGGTTGGGTGGTCTATCTCATGGAATAGAGATTTACGCAGCTCAAATCTAGGATTTTTTTTTTATTAGAAACCGAAGATTTCATTGAGATTAATGAAAACAGAAAATATATACACGGGTATACAAAAACAAAAGCCCCGAAAGAGGAGCCCAACCTAAAGAAAGGGCTTCCAATCCAAAAGAATAAAACCTAGCTGATAATTACAAAAAAACTTAGAGACAGAGCCCCATAAGAAGACATTAAATCTAATGAGACACAGCCCCATAGGAATTTATGGTTATATGATGGCAGACATGGTCGAAATAGAAAACAAGATCTTTTTATTGTTATGTGAATCATAAAATAACCTAGGACTTAGGAGAGTAATAATAATTTATTCAAACTCTCAATATTGTTCTTGAAAGACTTGGATGTGGTGTTAGCGACAGCCAAATAAGCTTAACAAAGATACCAACTTATGATGGGTAACTTCTGCCCTAAAATTATAATAGTATGGACTTGCTGGTGTTAACTGAATCAATTTAACAGTGAACAGCACAAATACCCAAAATATATATATACAAGCAACCAAGGTATGCAGACGCAAGGAACAGATTGTCTTTTAGTTATCAGTACCATTTAGTGACCAAAAGCTCCAAACCGCCCAAAAATTAGTAAATTAAGAGCTTTAAGAATCTATATTAAGGTGTGAGTTGTGAAGTGTCATAGAGCAAATGCAGGTGCAGCCACAAATTGGGTTATAATGGTATCAATTAAGACAAAAGAGTCTCTTCAAATTAAGGTCACGACACTCACTTGGATCATCTGTCAAACGACTAAGAACTCCAAATTCCAAAGTCAAGGTCCCACCACCAGCTGTTGATGTTATCTGAGAGACAGGAGAAACTCTAGATTAGAACCACTTCAAAAAGATGAAAGATGGAATTCACAAGAACAGTTCTCAGAAATTATATGAGGCAACTGCATCTCGCATCAGTCCTCAAGTGTACTAATGTAGGGCAGAAGAAACTATTTTCAAGCAATGCGATTTCCTTTTCAAAACTTAAATGGATAGCATGCTTTTCTAGTTGATCATTAAATTTCACATGTATAAGAAAAGGACGAGAAGTTTCACCTTGCTTTCATGTTCATCAACTCCATACAATAGGTTAACTGATCCAAATGGAATTCCTGCATTATATGACAAAATAGACTGTCAACATAAAAGCCACAAATGGCTGATAAACTTGGTCTATGGCACCCAAATAAATTCTTTTCAGCTAAAGTTCACGGAAGTAATGACTTGGAAAATCTGCTTTGCTTCTTGAATAATGAAATCCCACAAACATCTGGTTTCCCATGCCATACTCTACCATGAGAAACTTCAAAACAAACTTAAGCCTCCCGCAGCACAAAAGAATTATAAAACAAGCAACCAGAAAATAACAATGAAAAGCATATGCTGAAGGTAGAACTGAAAATGCCAATAATTAAGATTCGGTCAAAACTCAATCTACATAAGCAATTGAGTTAGTTTTTTTTTTTTTTTTTTGCTTTTTTGCTTTTTAATGTGTATGCTGTCTCCTCTGTAATGAAATCATCCTTTTTCTGTAGATAAAAAACGGGAGAAAAAGTAATAAACTTTCAGGTGGAAAGCTTGCAAAATATGCTCAGTTCATGTGAGCATAATTACTCTACAACAGATAGTATCAAGAGCAAAACCTGTAGGAGTGTCAAATGCAGGCAGTAATCTTCGAGCCAAATCCTCCGCTAAGTTAAGCAATTGATTCTCATATGAAGCAATTTTCATGCCCTGTAGGATGGGAGGGAGTCAATCAGATATCCATATTTAAACATTTAACAACTACACATAATAACAATGGATAAACTAGCTACAACAAATTCCAGAAATGGAATCAGAAATATACTGTGCTGATCTTTAAACGAATATTTGCACTATAGTAGAAATACAATATTGAGAATGTACCATCATGAACATGATGGAAAAAAGTTGACTTGAAAAAAAGCCTCTTAAAAGAACTTGGGTTACAATTTGCCAATTGATCGCTATCCAAACTGTTAACCTAACTAAAGGACCTCACAGGTTCAATGCATATCAAAGAAGCAGAGTTGACCTCACCAACAGGGCATGTAAATATTTAGCTATAGGCTCATCTTAAAAAAATTCCATATCTTATGGTTGTTTAAGAGCTACTTTTGAAAAAACATATTTTGGTTTTTAGAATAAAAATTTTAGTGAAAACATATTTGTTTTACCGTTTTTAAAAGTTGTTTTCTCTAAGTTTCTTTTTAATATGTTCTCATGGGTGGCAATTTTTTAAAGACAAATGGATATGTTCTTCATTTTAAAATCACAGGCTTATGAGTAATGATTTTTCAAGTACACAATAAACCTTTACAAACCACTTGATCATTGTTTTTAAAATAGTTTTATTTTCAAGAGGGGAAATTTTCTAAAAATAGTTCATAGGCATACCCTCATTCTGTGCTTTCCCTTCGTCAAGATATTTGATGCCCACCACTTCTCAACCCAAGTGCTCAACTTTGGTGAGACATTGGAAATTGTTTTTGAATGATATTTTGACAACTATAGGTGCACTATGCATGAAAACAATATTCTAGTTGACTGTGCATACAGAACCTTGATCTAGCCAATGCCATCAGAGTTTAAAAAATTTTAATTACAAAACAAGTAAACAACACAGATGAAGTTTGGAAAAAAAAATTAAAAATAAAAATAATACCGTTGTGTGGTCGCTTGCAATGAGATGAGCTGAAAGTAAACCTCCAAGAACTCGAATGGTCGTCTCAAAGACAGATACTGTTTTATTCTGTAGTTACAAAAGAAAGATTATAGTTGAACATATAGGTCATTTTAGAATTACAATGATTCAAGACTGAAATGACCTTCTATTTGAGTGATATATAAAATGTTAGAACACGTGATATAATTCCCCAACTAGGACTGAGTATTAAGTAACCAATACTATTGTATTCCTTAACTAGGAAATCATAATATGATTGTAAAAATTGTGTCAGTAAATACACAAGTGTTAGTGACAACACGCAATTGATGATTTTTTTTCTTTTGACATCTGTGAGTGTCTGGGCCAGTTAGCATAATCTCACAAGAGCCAAGATAATTAGTAGGATATTAAATTCTAGGTAGGTGAGCACCTTTGATACTACTTAGTGGATGGTTATTCTCCAACTATCTTTCGATAAGCAAAGTCTTTAACCATTGATGACCTTAAACAGAAAGAGGCCCTCTTTTGCAAGGACTTCTTTTGCTGAGGTTTCTTTTAGTCACCAACCCCTTGCACCTCTTGCAAATTTTCTTGTTATTATATAATGCCAGAGAGAATCTCTTTCCAAAGCAAACCACCACATTCAATTGGAAGCCGAAGCAATAATTTTCTGTTTCAAGTTGAAAACCCAGGATTTTGACCTAGGTGGCTATTGGTTGCAAATATGGTATGGTCTCTGTCGGAAATGATGTTCATGAACCAAACATCCAAGAAGAAACCACTTAAGACACCTACAATAGAGGTTGGGGTCTAAAACTCGAAGACCAAAAGAACTTGGTTTTATATAAAAACCACATGCTGAAGAAGTTGCTCAATATGTACTTTCATCACACAGCGGAAGGTGAAAGAAAGAGAAATTTGTAATCATAATTATCTAATAGGATTAAAAACCATTATCCAGATAGTGATCCTGTCAAAAAGACTTTCAGACAGATTTTAACCCTAACTAGCTAATCAAGACAGCAACCCCCACAAAAATGTACATTACTCACTATATCGAACCGAAGATTTTTACCAATCCATTCAACAGATGTAGCAAATTGTTCCCGATCACCAAGCAAAGCCAGTGTGTCCAATGAATCGATCTGTGACAACAAAATGAGGGAGACATCGTCATCATTATTTCAATACGACAACTCTACCTCATTAATTTATTATTTGGATGTATAACATTAAACAGAAGGAATCAGCTTACCAAAGTCAGGGCATAACCACCAAGTGAGTCTTCTCCTTCACACGATAAAGGTCTTAATTCATCGAGGGGAAAAGCATGCTTCATATATCCATTGAAGGCGTGATAAAACATTTCACGTACCTACATGGCAATTATGTCTAGCTTATAATAAACTGAAAATAAGTGAACATTAGAGAAATAGAGACAGGTCATCAACAAACGATTCCAGAACAGACCCGTATTTCTAAATTGTCAAATAATTACATAAAACCGCTAACTCCAATCTCGCATGCCTATCCTCCCTCCACAAAAACGGTGAAACTCAAGGTAATTCTGTGGTATAATTGTGAAGTTTTTAGAAGAATTGTCGTCCTTCAATGCCAGTTCAACAGGCATGTGTAAAAATATAATCCAATTCAAGATCATAAGTATCACAAAGACAATAAAGAAAAAATACTTGCAGGTTGGACGAAGATTAGAGATTTATTATAAGAGCAATTTAAAAAAAAATGTTCGATTACTAATCAGGAACAACGGATTCAATTTGCCAAAAGTTTCACCATTCAATATCCAACAATGTAGCCACCCGACGAGCTTACCCAATATGAGATAGATGAAATTGTTTCTTATCCAAAGACAAGAGATAGAGAATATTTATGGCTTAGAGGGTATCGAAATGAAGAAGGGATTAATTGATTTTGGTTCGTTAATGGGGTTCTGCTACACGATTGATTGGGGAAGAAAGAAAAAGGAATTAGTACCTCATCTCTGAGTTGTTTGGCTTCGTGAGGAGTGACACCATCAGCTAGAGAATTTTGTATGAAAATGGGTGATGAAATTGAGACTAAAAGCAAGAGGTAGAAAATAGGAAGCTGAGCTGAAGGAGGTTCCATTAGAGTCTCCCACTCTGGTTTTTCCTTCCGGTGCTTAGAGACTCTGAAGATCAGCTTCCTCCTCTGCTGCTCTTCATCTTCTTCCTTTTTTTCTTTTCTTTTTTCCTTTATATTTATTTTAAATGTCTTCTCAGTTCCTCCGCTCCAAAATCCCAATCTCCGGGAAGGTACAGATGTTGATATTCAATTATAGGGTTTTACAAAAGTAATAAATAAGAAAGAAAATTCTTTTTTTCTGAAATGAATGTTGAGTGCCAGCTAAATTAGAAACAAAATATAACGAAAACATCGATAATATATATAATATTAATATTAATCATTTTTAACTTATTTAAAAATAGAAAAACCTTTATTTGTTAATTTATATATTTTTTACTAATTTTTAATTTCTCTAACTTTTACAACAATATTTATTCAATTTATCTATATTTTGATTTGGACATTTTTGGTCGGGTAGACAAGAGTAGAGGTTTGAGTTTTCACTCAAATGGAGTGTTTCTCGACTAAACACCACACTGAAAATCCTACTTGCTTTGAAGAGAGTAATTTTACTTTACCGCGGGTGTTAAATTGATTTTAAACAATTTTTGTGCACACCATTTATTTGAATACAAAGTTCAATTGTGAAAAATGTTTAATTTTCTAAGATTATAATTGAATAACATAGCTAATCAAGTAAAATATTTTCACTTCACAATATCATTACATGACCACAGAAGTTCTTCAAAAAAAAAAAAAAGTGTTAAACTAGTGTGTTGCTAAATAAACTGTTGACAAAGGCCACACAAGAAGCATGGTATATAAGAGATTCAAGTTCCAAATACAAGTTTAAACTGTATAGAAAGGAAAGAAACAACCCAAAACCTATGAATTATCTGATGATTTAGAAAGGAAAAAAAAAAGGGAGAACATGATATTAAAAGATCATTAAATCATTTCAGAACTAAATGAAATGATTTCTCAAGCTCCTAGTATATTGTGCAGCAAATCGCCATAAAAGTCATTGAAACCGCTTCAGAAGTCATGTTTAGGCTTGTAATGAAGGTTACAGGGCGACGAGGCCAATCTATCATGCCTGTAAAAAAAAAAGGGATTGGCCAATAAGTAAAAAGTACTTCCACAACAATCACATGGAAATCAATAATTCGTCAGAGAAAGGCCCAAAGCCACAACTTATAAGGAATCTGAGAATAGGGATTGAAACTTGTTTTCCAGCATTCAATATCAAGTTAACATATTCAGGTTGAACTGCAGATAGAGAGTACAAGAGTGGATTTTTGCAATTTTGACGTTTTTTTCTCACCTGATGTTTCTTCTTCTTTGGCCTCCTCTTTCTTCGGGGTTTGTGAGCATCGGAATTGGAACTAATATTACTGCTCTGACCTGTATGCGAGGAGTTTGAGGATCCCCTAGGCTTAAAAGAGGATCCACTTCTACCACTTGATGTATTGCTGGATGTAGAAACCTCAGCCCTCTGATCTGTTGAAAATTTTCTCAATGAAGATCCAGTTTTTAACCGAGCTTGAGCGGAACTCGGGAATGATTTGGTTGGACGAGGCGGCGGCATTAAGGCTCTAGCAGAAATCTGCCTCTACAAAAAATGCTAGCCAAATAAGAGGAAGATGGAAAAATAGGTTGGGGACATGAGATACAAAGAATTACATCCTATTTACAAGACAGCAACAGTCACAAGAAAACTGAACCTGATTTCTTTCATCACTGGACATGCCAGATGCTGCTTTGCCAGAAGTACTGGACGCCTGTTCCCTGCCAAAGCATAGAATAAACATTCAATATACCAAGACCCTTGCAAAACATGATCAAACAAGAACTAGAAAGAAATTTCAATGCCTACTACCTTGTACTTTTATCAGTCCATTCATCATCTGCATCTGCTTCATCACTTGAGCTACCAGATAAGAAGAAATCATCCTCACTCAGGTCAAGTAATCCATCATCCTCACTACCAGTCTCTGTTCGAGTCAATTCAACATCATTAAAAGGACATATCATGATCTTAACAAGGAACTACAATCACAAAATACAAAAGATTGGGAAAATGTATCCTTATTTCACAAAATACAAAAGATTGGAAAACGTATCCATATATATATATATATATATATATATATATGAGACAAATTTTCGGAATGAATGAAAATTTGTAAAAATGGAAAAATAATAAATAAACAATTTTTTTATATATGTGAGTGTCCGGACCAGCTTCCACACCTCAACTAAACTCACGAAACCATTGCCTGTTCCCAATCGAAATTATAAAAAGTTTTTCAAGTGGCTAAAATGAAATTCAAACTACAGTGGCTTAAAGGAGAGTGTAAGTAAAACAGCCACTAAAACAGTAAAACTAAATAAAAGAACTTTCACAAGGCTTCCTCTTGTTGCTGAAGGTGCTCATATTTTTTTCAAGCCAAAGGTTCCAAAAGAAGGCTATATTCAAACATTCTCCTAAATAAGTCAATTTTTAAATATTTAATTAGGTGGGCAAGGTTGATTGTTGAGCTGTTGGTTTCGGGCTGCATGTGCCTAAGAATAGTGAACACATACAGAGCATGCATAAATTCACCCATAAACCTACCTATATTCTAAGATGAAACCAAACGACTTGGCAGAAAAGGGTAAAAGAAATTAAAATAAAAATTTGAAAAATAACACTAGCAGATGTGGTAAGGAGACCACCTTCTAAATCCTTTCCACTGGCTGCAGCAGCAATCAGATTGTCTTTAATCTGCTTGCGCAACTTATTCCTCCTATCAACCATGTCTGAATCATCACCTCCAGTAAATAAAGCTACATATTTTTCTGTTTTGGGAAAGAACTGCATTCAAATAAAAAAAATTCACATCTGAAATTACAGAGGATGATGGAAAAACCAAGTATATACTTGTCATTACAACTGCTGCAACTATTGTTAATCCTATTTCTAGGGGTAAGTGGGGAAATAACAAAGCACATATAGCTGAATCTACAATTTATACCTCCTCTAAGGTGTGAGAGACAAATCAATCAATAATGAAAGAATTCGGCATTATCCAAGAATTTTTATTAGCAATATAAAAATGAAGATAGTAAATATTTGCAACGATGGCGAACACAATGAAAGTGAAGAATAAGCCGTAATTACAATAAAATTTAGATGATCTCCTGTATATCAAAGCATCAATTCTGCCATACATACATAAATACAGGAATGTATGCATGCATACATATATGTATATGTACATATATGCATATTTTAGGGAAAAAATTATGATATACCCTGACATATTCGAGATCCTCTTTCAACTTAGACAATTGATCTGCAATATCTGAATCTTGCAACTGGCCAGATGGAGCACGTTGCAGTTTTTCAAGTCGTCTAATTCTTCTTTCAATTTTTCTCCTCTCTGGATTAAGGACAAAGTTTTAAAAGAATAAATAAATAAATAAATAGCTGACACATGCTTGAAACACAAACCCTATCAAATGACAGAAAAAATATTACCAAGTATTACCAAAAAATTTTATCTTCCTATCTCGCAAGAATATTTTGCGCTCAACAGCCAACCGGGACTGAATTTCTTGCTGTTTTCTAAGTCCTTCCAACTTCTTTTCTTGAGCCTCCCTCACATCAGCAGGTAAAATCTGGAGAAAGGAAAAGGGTCATTTAAAAGTAATCATCAAGTAACCATACGCAACGGAAACCTCACTTTGGCTCTCCTACTTTTCAAAAATTCTTGTAGCACACTCTTCACCTCAATATTTGATTCACTTTATATAACAAGTTGACACTTATCCTAATAAAGCATCATTTCGACATTGAACTCCGGATATTGCAAAGAATCGAGTTCAATACGCAATAAAACCTGCAACTCGACTTCCAAATCAAAAGATGTTGGAATTCAACAAACTAGTCTCTTCTCCGAACTCCCCCAACAGCTAAACAGAGAACCCTGATCAGTTAACAAATCCAACCCCCTAAAAGGACCTAGAAGAACTACAATGTCTACTCAACAAGTAAAGAGGTCGGAGTGGAATAAAACCTTGCGAAGCATGCGCTCAGCAGATCGAATCTGGTTCTTGAGGGAAACGGACTTGGGCTTCTTGTCCACCGCCAAAGCCTTGGATCGGCGGGCGGCGGGGTTGACCCTGCGCTTGCCGTAGCCACCATGAGCCATGGTAGCCCTAGGCGCAGTGGAGAGAGGGATTTGAGAGGAGATAAAGGGGGAGAAGGTGGTTTCGAAGGGTTTTGTGAAGAACCTCAACACCACGCCGGTGGATTCATAACACCGGAGAGGTGGAGACTGGACACGGATTTCTTTCAACCTCCCAACATTTGTTTTCTTTCGTTTTTACTTTCGGATTTTCCAGACGATCTTCTTAATTTATGCAAATCCCTATTTAGCGCCTTTTTTTTTTTACAACGTTACTTTATTAGTTGTTACTTTTCTGAAAAAAAAAATTAAATTAACGCTCGTTTTTTTAGGATGGTTTTGTTTTTGTTTCTCTATTTTATTAAAAATTAAGCTTCTTCTGCAATGATTCAATGGGAATATCATCCTTTCAATGGTTACAAAACAAAATATATAACAAGACAAGTTAAAACGTACGTGGAAGTAATGTCTTATCGACTTAATTTTCAAAGTGTAAAATTAAAAATAAAATAGTTATCCAACCTATTTAAAATTTTATTTATTTGATTGTTTTAAAATAGATATATTTTAGTTTTTAAACTTTACTTTTATTCGGTGTTTCATAATATCTATTTTAATTTTTAGTATTAAAATACCGGTCCTTTTAGTTATTGTGGTTATCTTGTTTTCAACAAATAAATAGTGTATCTTCGAATATACGTAATAGAATGTTAGCATGGATAGGTATTTGAGTTGGTAAAAGTTACCATTTAGTAGGTAAAGAGCCCTTATAAATCACTGATTTGAATGAGATAAATGAAACTTTAATATTTGATCAATTGAGGTTTGGTTTTTGCAATTTATCTTTCAATATATTTGCAAAATAAAAAGGAGGATAAAGATAGAAGTATACATCGAAGATAAATGGTAAGGAGAGAGGATGAATATTCAAATTGATTATATATGTGCTGAGCCATATATTTTAGGATATTAATTGTGGGGTTCAATAATATAATGGGTCCTATTATTATTTTAAAAATAAAAAGGGTACTATAACAAATTGTCTCAAGAAAGGTAGGTTAGGAGTCCCTTACAAGAAGAGAGTTTCAGTATCATTAAAGAATAATTTGAGTACTCCACCTATTCTAATATTGCCTAGTTTTGAAAAGCATCCAAGGTCGTCAATTATTTGGCTAAAGTCACAGACAAAAATGGTACACATTCTTGCACCAATTGAACTATCTTCATGTCAAAAGCTAGCTATGATTTGATTACCTGGTTAAGAAATGGAAAAAAGGAGTATGTTCTTGAAAAAGAACTATACACAATGATTCAATCTTTGAAACATTGCAATTCATCTGTAAAGAGATCATTCATAATATTGTGACAAATTTGTGAGGTACCTTTGTGCTCTATATTTCTAAGGGATAAAAAAAAACAATGTGTTGCATTGAATATACGAACAGAACAGAACAAAAGAAATGGAAGGGGAATATATTTTTCATAACTGGCAGAAAGTTTGTTGTTATTCACGTTCTGATATAACGATCAATGAATCTGTCAATTCAAGAGAAAGCGGTTCGGATTTGGGAATTGGATTGATAACCTGCATCAACCAGAAGAATGCATCAGATCAGACTCGTATCCTACATTATTTCTCTACAATATTCAACGACCACAATTACCTTCCTATTGCTTTTAACATAGCCAATGGCAACTTCTTGCTTTAGATGTGCTCTTTCGGCTAGTTCTGAAAATGAGAGATCCTCCCCTTGTTTCATGTAGCCACTAATATCCTGTGTCAAGAAGATATGTAAGCATGGTGCAGTTATGTTACACAAGGCTACACACAACATCCTTTTAACTACAGCCTATAGTCAGTTTAAAGCTTGTGTGATAACATTTTTATATTTTTGTTCCTTTTCAAATCGAGAAAAAACATAATTGCATTTAGTAAATATTTCTTGCTTTTTCCTTTTAAAGAAATAAAGAAACAGTTGATAATCATTATTTATTTTTGTTTCTTCTCTAAATTATTAAATTAGAAAAAGGTAAAAATTTTATAAGAACGTTGAATATTCAAATTTTTTATGTTAGATTTATTCTTTTTTATATTTATTATACTTTTATCTATGCTTTTTAAGAACCAAAAATAGAAATAAGAAACTTAGTTTTGCTGTTTCAAAAATTTCTATACAATTTTGAAAATGTTTCTTAAAAATGAGAAACGAAAAACAGGAAGAGTTACCAAATAATTGTGTTTTTCAAAAATTAGAAATAAGAGACAAGAAACGGGAGCATTATCAAATGGACCCTTATTTTCCTCCTCTATCGGATAGTCTCAAAACCACAATAGTTCAGGATTCATGGTCACTAGTTAAAATTTTGAAGCTCTTCAAAGTAGAATTTCAAGTAATAGCATGTGCAAAACAATATATTATTGAGTCATCTAATCACGTGACCAAAAAAGTCCCAAGTAGTGCAAGAATTGTACTTTCGACCTAGGCGTTTTATTTCAATGTTCATAGTTATCCAAAGGTGATGTGGATGAAGAAACAGAGATGTACCTTCACATATATTTCATCACCCTCGGCATTTAAAATATCTTTCCACACCTCATTCAGTTCACTATCCTCTGCCACTGTCACACAAAAATATATACTTGAATCGCATTTTGGGGGTCACTTGCAAGCAAATCTAACAGGGGTTCACAATGCATTTTCAGACCTTGAGCTGTGACAAGACTCATTATTTCCTCTGCTGCTATGTACGTTAGGGAAGGTTTTATTCTTGTTATCTGCATGCATTTAAACAGCAACATCAATTTTTAAATAGACTCAAAAGGATACACATGAAGATTGGAAAATGGAGCATTTACTTGTTTTCCCAATTTGGAGTCAACAATCTCTGCAACAAGATTTTGCACCTGAAATATAGTGTCATATCATAGACCCTACTTCTCTCCAGAAAATAAACAAAAGACTGCTAAGATGTCATATGATCAAACTTTCAATAAATTTATAGATGTCAAAGGATTAATGTGTAGGAATTGTGTTATTGATCGTATTACTTTGCTATTACACACAAATACCTTAACTCCATGTTTCTCGCAGATACTTTCAGCAAGGAGAAGAGTATATACTGAGTGTTTGTCTGCCCTAGATGGATCTGGAAGAATGGAAGTTAATACAATCCATATTCTGGTTATTAAAACAGAGAAACATTATACAAGCCAAAAAAAAGGCATATAAGATAGTCTTAAAAAAAAGGCATACCACCAAGAAGCCATTCTCTGTCAGATATCACCGCAATGGATAAAGGAACATCTTCATCTTTATTGAAAGAACTCTTAATATTTAGTATGGTTTCTTCTAAGGTATCATAGTCCATGGGGTTTCCTATCTACAGCATACAAAGGAGAGGTACAAAATTGTGGAAGTTGGCTTAAAGAAAGAACTAAAATGCTTCAGAAGACTACACTATGACCATTATCTTAATTCAATTAAAACATTATGTCAATACCCTGTGAGAAACTCTGACATTTTTGAATTTATTCCGGTCTGCAGCTTTATTAGCCCTTTTTCTTTCATCGAATGATGCATCCGACAAAATTTCCTGCATTTACATGGGAGATGAGAATCTAAGGTCCAAAATTTGCGTTCATGTCACATATAACCAAAAATCAGATGTATAAAACCGGCTTATCAAGCCCAAAGAAACTGAATAAAAGTTCAATGTATCACATCATGATGGACAAACTTCAAACTCCAAAGAACCCATGTGTCACTTAGCCGAGCTATTTTTGTCTAGCGTATTCATCAAGGCTTTTGGGCTTAGAAGAGAACCTCTACTTAAGAGAAGATGAGAAGCTGAATGGGATATATTTCAATAAATTGACACTCTAGCCAAATTTCCAATCATCCATATGACTGCATTTTTTTCATCAGATCAAGACTAGACTACATTGCATGCAGTGTCAGTACTGCAGAGCACCTTAAGTCCCGTTCAAAAGTGATGTCAGAGGAGTCAAGTTCTAGCACAAAGATTTGTAGTCTAGAAAACACGAAGAAGGTTCATACAGAAAAGGGCTTTACCAATACACTACCAGGTCCAAGATAGTTATCATATTCTTCAATCATATCTACAACATCTGGGCGCCAACCAAGCAAAAGTATGCATTCTTTTGGTCCTACAGCCTTTTTTGAGGCCTGCATGCAATATAAAAATTAGTCACCATGTTCACTGACTTGTTGAAAACAAAAATGGACCACTTAAATATTACCTTGAAAAAAGGTTTTGTTGGATGTTTAATGATATTCTCAAATCGCTTTCTATCTGTTTCCAGAGATTGATGTAAACCTGCATTACTGTTTTTAATGCTTTCCAGCTTTTTAATGGTATTACTTCCTTCTTTAGTCACATTTGAATAGCCACCCCCTCCCTTATGTCCTCCAAGTAAAGGTGCAATGAACAGAACCTACACGAAAAGATAGTTAAGGAGAGGTGCACAAATTCAACTGACAAAACGTGTGGAATGAAGTTGTTCCCTTCAAAGCAATTGAGAACTCACCGTCACCAGATAAAGGACCATTAATCCATAGCATTACAATTTTTGTCCACTTTGAACAATTAACGTAAAACTGAATATTGCAAGTCTAGAAAAGTGCAGTATCAAGATTTTTGCATCCACCCTATCCTTCTACCAGATAAAAGGGAGCCTATCCTATCTTAACAAATTACGAGCATGAGATACAAGCATTTAAAACTTTTATTCTCATTCTTCAGGTGTTTGGCACGAAGTCTAAGAATTGAATACAAAAACTTCAGGAAGAAAATGATCAGAGAGAGAAGTCTAACGTGATATACATCTTAGATAAATTTTGTGCAGAGACTGTTTTGTTTATAACCAAATAAAATCATAACTTCATCGCGGTACTGAAACTTGAATGAAAAGATTGGTGTTACTTCGTTTTTTTTTTTTTTTTTGGGCAGATTAGGACCATCAACACTAGCTGCTACTGTCTATAAAAAAGAAAGATACAGATCAGCGTTTGGATATACATTATTCATACCTTGTCATTTTGCCGCAGAATCTCATCATCATTTGGATGGAAGTGTATCTTCCCACTCCTATAGATACCACAAACAACTGCCTGTAGAAACACCCATTCAGCAAAAAGGAAAGGGAATGCTGAGGAAGATCTTAGCTGATGGGTAAATACCTCATGAAATCCTTGGCGTATTTCTTTATAATTTAGACCAACAAAATTGGGGGAACTGAATAGATTAAAGACGTTTTCTGCAATTACACAGCATTTTAAATTTGAGTAGACCGAAAACTAAAAGGCATAGAAATTCAAGGATGGAATTTAGATATTATCAGCATCTAGTATTTTATTCCTTTATTGTGATTCAGTTAGTTGTCCTTCATGATAATCATTGAAAGAGAACCCGGAAGTTTTTTTCAACCATTCTTCTCCAAGATCTAAGTTTTTTTTCTTTTTTAATCAAGAATGTAACATTAGAAATGTGGGGCCAGGGGTCTGAACCTAAAACTTATAAAAGGGAGGTTACTAATACCTTAGATTGAGAGGTATAAGTTATTAATGACTTAAAGAATAAAATGCAAATGATTCAAGATTAAACGTCAACACATGCAATTCAATAAAGTGGCTCAGGTTCTGGTTCTTGATGAATAACGTGCATTTTACTGGGAATGAAAACCAATATCCCAATTTATTAGAAAGAGCACTCTAATGAACCCAACTAGAGAATTCAATAGCATAACTTGTCGGAAATTCTGAATAGCTAATTACTCCTAAATATATGTTCCAGGAAAGGAGTTTCGCCCTCCATTGTCCTATGCAATTAGGATACTATAAATTCATTACGTACTTTGATAGTTCAGCAAGTGCCTATAAATTTTTATGAGCCCCTTTTGCCGAGAACACTGAACAAATAATTTAGAGGCAACATTCTCCACCGGCTCTACTTTCAGTCCTGTGACTGACTTCAAGAGCGCACATGTATTGGAACTAGAAACCTGAATTCATCGAGAGAAAGTTCAAATTCATCCATTCATAGTTGGCATTTGATAAACTGATCAAATTGTTATTTATTGGTAGCATACCTCAACAATAGTTGGGATGGACTCCATATTCGGAATGGGTTGAAGGGCAAGAACAGAGAGAAATGCATCTGTATCAACTTCATACCTAATAAATTTGTGTGCAAAAACGCTTTAATTAATCCATACTTCTAAGATTGATTTCTCATATTTGAAACCAAAATAAGTAGCTTTACATTCTATACTGGTCAATATTTCAATAACTGCATGTGCTAAAAGCACTCTGTTAGCTGGACTCCGTGTCACTCCAACATTTAAATTATGACATTTATCTTCAATTGGTTGTAAAATTCTTTTCTTATAAAAGGTCCAGGATAACTATTCAACAAGGCTTTCTTATAACTATGATTACTTCCTATTTCACCATATTTGTAAAAAGATCTCTCCTTAAAGATGATTGAGAAACCTACATAAGGGCAAATTCATCCCAATATCCAGAGGAGGGTGGAAGGTTTAATAGAATTTGTCAGATTTGTCAATAAAATAAAAATAATAAAGAAACCATGAAATACTGGAAGAAATTAAAATATTAAAAGAACTATGGAAAAATATCCATCTACCTGCTTAAGAGAACAAATAAGCTTCGGTAAATGCCAAAATATGTAAACTTCATCTCAATAAAAAAATTCATGGTATAAACTTCGACTTTTATGGAAGGAGTGAAGCATGTTCTTGAATTTTGACGGGGCTACTACTTAGAGGTCAAAAGCATTTTACTACTCGTAATTACAATTTTAACAAAAGCAAAATAGTCATTCCAACTCCATAATACTACTAATCTTTATCAACATTCCATACATATTGCAGTAACTTTACAGCCTACGACTAGAATTCAGTAGCATTTTCACAGGAATCATTTCTTCGATAAACAAAGAAGGTGTTCTAAATGGTGAGAAAGAAAATGATATTACGGAAGGCTGGAAACCCAGTCTATGAAAACTACCATAGAAGAAAAGACATATATACTCTTAGCCAACCTGAATATAGCTCAACTGGTTAAGACATATATCATCAATAAAAGGTTGGAGGTTTGAATCCTCACCCTCAAAAGAAAAAAGAAGAAAAATATACTCTTGACTGAAAAAATTCTTACCGATCTCCCTTTGTTGGTAGTATAATTACTGCACGTGCCATACTGGCAGCAGCTCTTTCAAATGATTTTGTTAAGCTGAGACTACAACTGTAAAACCATAAACTCAATAGAATGAGATGAGATTAAAAACAATTCAGGCCATATGAAAACATATTCCAGAAACTTCACTTGTTTTTGGAGATGATATCATCAAGTGAAAATGAAAATTCCTAAAAGGAAACTCCAAATGCAGATCCAAAAGAGAGAGACAATTTTTTGTCGGCTATTATGATTAAGATAAAGAAAACAACTTCATCACCCTTACCTCTTTGTAAGAACATCGATGTGGTAAAGATCTTTTGCAATATTATCAGCTAACTTGTCCATTTGTTTCCTCGGAAGATCAGACATGAGAAGAATTCTCTGTCTCCTTAAAAAACAACCAAAAAGAAACTGTACTCTCCAATGCTTATAATACATGATGTTGACACAGAATCTATGACGGGAGGAGCACCAGTTACCTAGCAGATGCAGTACCTAAGCGGACAGCAAATTCATGATACTTATTTATCTGCTTCAATATAAATGCCAAATGACTATTGACACCACAAATGATGATGTGATCAGACTCCAAAACTTGAACTTGTGCACCTTCCCTCAGCCTTTGCATGTTATGCTGTCCAAACAACAAGCATAAGTAAAATGTGCATGGAAATTAGTTTCAGTAAACATTTAATTTTTCTTCAAGTTTTTGTCATTATGCTTACCCTAAACTGTTCTGTCATTGTGCTGAGTAGACGAGAGTAGAATAATATGCCCCATATGGCAAGAATGAAGCCTATAACACGTTCGACTCGTGTTGTTTGCTGTTAGTTCAAAAATATAGATGTTTCTAAGTCAAATTAACATTCATAAATACTTAAAATGATTTAAAGTAAGCAGTTGAAGCTATCATTAATAAAATAGATCTGAAGGATCTTATAATGAAAATTCAGCATACTTTCAAGTGAGTGGATGACGAACATAGACATGCCCATGCTTCCCATAAGCAGTCCTCCAGAGACTGTGTGCTACCTCTGTTCAAGACACTCCTCGCATGTAGGAAGGATCAATGAACTAACAGACAAGAATCAAACTAAAAATTGATTGCAAGAATTGAAATTACGCAAGAGATTGAAAGTTTGAGTAATAAAAATCAACTGATAGAAAAATAATAACATAAAACTAGTTTGTCAATTATCTCATTATTTAAAAACAAAATAAGAAACAAGACAGAAATTGAAGGCAAAAAGATTAATTCTTTTTAAAATAGAGAACTATAAACAAAATGATGATATAACAGGCCTTTGCTGATCCCACCATATCTTATTTCTTTTCAGAGTATAACTGTCGTATAGATCAACACAGTTGATTGGGTTTTTTCTAATATTAATAATGTAGAGAAAGAGGTTGGAGGGGACTGGAAGAGATATTTATACCCTAGAAAATCCAATATCCTCCCATTCCCTTCGAACTCTCCACTTTTGAACACAGGTAACAAAAAGAAACATTTTTCTTTTTCAAGACCTGAAGAGATTAATTTTAGTGACAAGGACAAAATATGTTATAGTTATAGACTTATAGATCAGTTCTTACCATTTACCACATAAACGCTATGTATTTGAAGCTGCAGTTTAATACTAAGAAAGAATGAACAGTAGAGTACCTGAGCTTGAAAAACAGGAAACCACCGATCAAAATAAATGAGATGCATGCCACAAGAAGCACCACTAAGAACCTATTAAGAAAAACCCAAATGATTTCCCAATCTTAGAAGAACAAGAATTTCTTCCAAAAAGAAAGAGTAATACAATACATTCGTGGAATTAGAATACATGGTTCTAGCAGTTTCTCTATTTCTTTTGTCACATTTGCAGTCTATTAGAGCCTCATTTCAGATGAGTGACAGTCAAGTTTAAATAGATACTTCATTCCATAAAAAGAAGCGACCACATCATGAGGACAAAGTAATGCCTGGTAGATAATCATAATATTGTAAAACGGAATACCTTCAAATAAGTCATTATAAAGAATGAGGATGAGAACGAGAACATTAATGAGATTATCAACCATGACACAAATATGCACCTAACTTACGTGCCAACATTTCTCTCGAGTTGGATGTTGAATAGGTATATCAGCCGTGCAAAATTCCATCTAATATCTTGAAATGCAGGCAAGTATACATCCAACTGGAGAGGTGTGGGTTTCTTCAAGCAATTAGATGCACATGCAAATGGCAAGCCAGATGCTCCAACGTTTTGAACAATACATGAAAATATCTCTTGGACAGTTTCGGCTATAGATTTGACAGAATTAACTTGTGTCAAGCTGACGAGGCAACATCCAAATATAACTTTAATCATAACTTTAGCTTGAAAACCCTGATACAATTCCAGTGCAACATTATCAGGAAATCAGCCAATTTTGTGAACTAAAAGCATGGGTTAGATACTGAGCAAGTTCTCCATATACCAGGTGAAAAAGAAAGGGCAAAAATGATGCTCTTTAGTTTATCTAATTGGCAGGCAACAATAACTGAAATTAAAAACACGTGCATAGCTTAAAAGAAAACAAATGAAGAATTTAAACATTCCCCAAGAACTAAATTAAGAAGCAAGTATGCCTATGAGAAACTGAATATTAGAAATTAATAGACAGTTGTAAATAGTCAATGAGTCAATGATGTGCAGCAGTTAGAGTTTTCCTGCCTTACTTCATTCGTTTCACAATTTCTCTATTTACCTTGAAGAACTTCAAACGTGGGAAGCCCATACTCACCTCACAGCATGATGGTAAAAGAGAAATATAGTTCTGACGTTTAAAATATCAGCCCTAATTATAAAAAATTTTAGGTTCAATTGGCCTCTTATGTCATAGAGTATTTATTTTGTTGTTCTATTGCTTACCATTCCAAGTATATAAGTTCCTACTGCACCCAAATTCATGAACTTGCTCTTCCAACAGCCAGCGTTTGTTCAAAATCAACACTTCCAGACATATAGATGCTTGTTTATAGCATGATTCTGTGTATGGTTGAAAGAGAGATATGGTAGTACAGATCAAATAAGAATTAGCCATTGTTTTCCTTTCCCAATGTTGATTCTCCAATTACATCACCGCAAATATAGATGTACAAGGCAAAACTACATTAGGTTTGTGTTAGTTACTTTGTAAGACCAAGCTAGTTGACAATAGTACACTTAATGCACGAGTAAGCCAGAAGATACACCAGATTTTTTATCTATCAACAAACATTCACCTGAGTGAAAATATTCGAGTTAGCTCTACAAACACTGGCATTGAAATCACTTGAACTGCATTTGCACATTGCAATATGTACCCAGTCTTGTTTCCTTTGAGAACGGGCCTCCCATGACCCTGCCATAGAATCACCAGCGTCAGGAGAATGAAAACTACGAATCTAACATGTTTAATGCCTGAGCAATAGAATACCAGATCAATGCTGGTTTGTACACAAATCCATGCGACAACACGGTAGCTTAACAAATTTATTCAGAAAGCAAAACCAAAACGGTTTCAGTTAACCTAAAGACAGAAAATAAACCGAACTGTCGTGAAAATTCAAAGTATTTAAGTCATAATGGCAATCTCACTGTACAATGTATTCATTTCGTAATTTACATCTACAGCAGACTCACCTCCACTAACCATGAGAGGGCGTGCATTAAAATTCGAATGGTCGACCCACGAGAAGTGACATGAAAACGTTCTGCTGGAAAAAGGAGTGAACAGTTCAACATGTCTATCAAGCACTAAATTAGACAAAAGTCACATAACACTGTAACTATTAAAAAACGAAAACAAAAACTTAATGACAAATTATGGTAGTTAAAATCTTCTACACTCGTTGCAGTGCAGATGCAGACCCGAGATTACGATTAAAGAAGCAGCGGAGTCTCCAGTACAGAAAAAAGTATCAGCGAGTAATAAAATGGTCAACCGCGTGAGAGTAGCAGTTGAACCAGTAGAAAAAACGCGCGAAAATCCCAGCGATTAAGTTGAATACCATTCATAGAAGTTGGAGACAGCTAATGCTAAAGAAGAACAAGAGAACTGAAGATTGGATATGGAGGAAGAGATACCTGGAAGTAGAAGACTGAATGTTCCGATAGGATCGAGGAAGTGAGGAAAGGCGTAAGTGCGAGCAGCGATGTTGACTCAGAAGCATCTGGCTCTGGCGCAATGCTCTGTAATGGCAAGTGGAAGGAGGCTCTGTAATGGCGGGTATGGTGCAAGGAAGTGGAAGAAGGACGACTGAGCGAGAGAAAATGGCCGCTGGACTCGTATTATATAATTTTCAGACGGAAATTTGATCGGTGCGTGCTGTACTGTACAATTTTTGGTTCTTTACTAATTAAAAAATAAATAAATTTTATTGGGAAAAAGTTCTGTATTAAATTAAACTAAAAATCGAAAAGCAACCCATCGGAAGGCGATCGGTGGATGGCGATGGCTGACGTATTTCGTGGGGTTGAGATTTAAGAATATCCGGAGCGGTTGGAAATTTATATTTTCAAAAACAATAGATATATTAAATAGTCTTTAAATATTTATGTAATGATTCGTCAACCTTTTTTGTTAGCACTTTTTTTTTCAATGGACAATTATATTTAAAAAATTGTGATTAAAAAAATAATGGAAAACGTTTATTTTTTTAAATAAAGTTCTTGTCGCGAGTGATTCCTTTTATAAATAATAGGAGTGTAATCATCATTTTGTTATTTCTCTTTTTTTTTTTTGGTTATCTATTAATTATTTTAAAGAATTGCTGCAAAAAGAGAAATATTACTTTTTTATGGATGGGATTGTGTGCCCCGTCACTTATCTCTCACTTATCCCAACTACTAGAATAGTCGAGGATGAGATAAGCCTACAAAGTCGTCTATCTAACAAAAAAAAAAAAAAGTTCGACACTGATTTGAAAACATGAATGTCATCGAATTTTTTATCATCAAATATGGAGTGTCAAAATGATAAGGCAAGAAATTACTGACGTTGGTTCTAAATCGATGGTTATTTAGAAAATGTACAATTTATGATAAAAAAAATTCCTATAAAAATTGGACATGCTTTCCAAAACGCCTTATAAAATTTACAAGTCACGCTAAATATCCACTTCATATTAGAAGTTGCTTGTCACCCGTCCAAAATCCTGCATCAACACACACATAGTTGTAATTAATGGGAAATCTACCATAAATGTCTAATTACATCAACGCAATGTCACAGTTTGAGATTGATTCATTATTATAAACGACTCTCATCAATGAAGTAGAAGGATTTTAACAAAGCAATGGTAGAGTAATGTATAAGTTTTAGGTGGACATATCAAAACGAGTTTAGTTCAACAATAATTAGCATATATCTACAATCCCAATATATTGGACTAAAAAACAAAGTTTTAAGTAGACATATACCATCCCGGGAAGGAAGTGATATTAATTATAGTATTGGGGCAATAATTATCACAAAATAAAGTGCTCTAGGTGTATCTTATTTATTTAAGACTTTCTTCGAAAAATGTGAAATGATAGATTGGGTTGATTTTGAAGTTTTTTCAATTATTTAAACAACGTGATTATGACCTTATATGCTTTTGTTTAATTAAGTAAAGGACAAAACAAACATAAACATCTACTTCAATTGAGCAAAGAGTCGATCCATACCGTTGGGTCTGTAAGAAGTTCAAACAAACTTCCATATTAGTCAGGGAAATATGTGATTCATGGTATATAAGAGAAGACAATTATATTATGAGGTATTTTGAGTGGAACCAAAGGCAAAGCCGTATTGCGTCGTTTTTTTTCTCTACCATAACGAATCAATTGATTTAATGTAGACATTGCTCTTTCCTTTGTCCTTCCCCCTTCTTTTTGCCCTCTCACTAGTGATTACTCCCGATCCGAAGCACCCCTTTTCCATTCATAGAGAAATTCGTGAGAGCTATGATGAAAGCGGACAATATCATACAATTATGGAAATACTCGGGATACGAATGGTACTGTTGTACTTAACACATACTTCCTCTCTATCTCTTCTAAGTGCACTTATTGGCATGCTAGTTAATATGATGAAATCACATGATTTATAACCAAAGTTTTGTCTGGGCTATAGAAGGAAAAGATCGTGAGTATACACGTAATGTACAACATCTCTATTGATATGAGGTACGAACAATATCGAAAATATTTCGAGCACTTAGAGTACCATTGTCCTTGATAAATAATATTAGAATTATGTTGGGTCGAAAAATCATCAAGTACCAAATATAGAAACAGTGAACCTTGAAAAATGTAATCATCGTGTGATCTATAGTTATATTCTACCGTAGTGAAGAATGGGCGACTATTTGAGAAGAGGCTCGTGATAATTTGTATGGTACCCAACTACCGAAATCTTTAACAACTTCTTTGAATAATATAGTTGAGTTTAAATTTGGAAATGGGAATCACTGATAATTGAATCTCTGGTTCCCCTGGGCTCAGACCCAGACCAAAGGGTCTCAAAACTTCAGATTTTGGCTCTAAACTCACCGACAGTGGGCACGTGCCTGCCAGCCAGGGGCTCCAAACTTTCATGCGCTGTAAATTATTAAAAAAGTAAACTTAATCGGATGCATTGATGGTTACTCAGAGCTTAGACTTGTAATTGGTAAACTTTACTTAACTTTTGCTACATTCACTCGCTACTTTTCATAAAAATAGAAGAAAAAAAATGTACCACTCTAGACATAGATCAATAGGTTAAGAGTCGTGATTTTTTTTAATGAAATAAAAGAGAAAACAAAATCAAAATTTACCTTTAAGCTTAACAACGATCGAACTCACGATTTCTTGATGAAAGATATATATCAATTATTATCGAATTATGTTCACTTTGACACGGTGATTTAAGCCTAATTTAAATATTTAAAACATTATAATATGCAGCAAAAGGTGAGGTTGGAATCTCTTGAAATGAAAAGAAAAGGCTATGTTTGTAATGATGGAGTTGGGAGATTTTGAGAGACGAGGGTGGACAGTGGAGTAACGGAAGAAGTGGTCCAGTGGGCCGACCACCAGTACGGCCCACGGGTCCAATACAGTCTTCGAAAGTGGCAACAATTCCTTCCACTGACTGTGACCCAAGTAGTCCACCGACCAATGTAATGGCGCCATCGTGTGTATCGTGGGGCTGTGGGTGCTGGTGCTGCGATGAAATGACTGTGACACAGCGCAATATTGCACGGGACTTTATCGAAATCGTGTGGACGAGGAACATTTTTTCTGGTAGATTTTGATGGCAAGGCAAGTGCACTAAAGCCAAATTTTAAACCTTACCAAAAAAAAAAAAAAAAGAACAAGTATCAGTTTTGATATTTATTGCTTTTTGTGCCATCATCTTTCTATAGAAAGATGGTGAATTTGAATCATCCCACATGTTATATTAAAAAAAATATATTATTTCTCTACTGTGAAATTATATTCATTCCATATAATTCTTATGAATAATTTCAAAATTTAGGTGCATATTTCATGTCTTCACCTTATATAGTGTTATAATAAATGTCATGTGAGTCATTTGGTGTTTTTCCACATTTTTAGGTAGTATTTTCTCATAGTCATTGGTTGTGTCATTCTATATTTAGAGCTTGTTGTTTTTCTTGTCTTGCTTAACCTTTGGTTTATTTCGTCATTCTACTTTTAACTTTGGTTAATGGTAATCATTATACTTTCAAAATATTTATTTTGATTTTCATACTTTAAAAAAGGTGACAATTGATCTTTGTTTGCAAAACTTTAACTAGGAAAACACTTTAATATAAAAGTTATGGCTACACATTTCAAGAAATATATTGAATATAATGTTGTGTTAAAATTGTGATAGAAAGAAATGACATAAGAAATAAAATGAAGGGACCAAAACAATCCCTCTTTAAAAGTATATGGACCACAACGAACGTTTCAGCAGTACATGGACTTTGTTTATGCAAAAAAATGTGATGAGGTATGATCTGGTAAAGGTCGGCCACGCAGAAGAGGTGGGGTGTCCTTGGGAAAGGAATGACCAGCTCAAAAGGTCAAAGTAAGCACTGGAATGAGCTGAACTATCAGGAATGAGTTGAAAACCACTTGACGAGGAAAGACCTGCACAAGGGAACAAACACTCTGACGTTCAAGTCAATTATGAGTCCGACCTCAATATGGAGACCGAGCTAGAATACCATCCCTGACTAAAGAGTGAAATGTCCTATTTATAGGTTGAGATACCCGACAAAGAATCCGACTAGCAGTTGAGCATGTCGGGACCAAGGTCGGCCTATCGGGAGTACCTATTCTAGTTCATATGATTGTTATCTGGAATTTGGCTAAGTATGGAAGGTCATTCCTCCCTTGAATGATCTTCAAGAAAGACTTTAAGGCCGACCTTCAGGGAAGGCCTGGGGTCAATCATTAGACAAAGTCATGATGAGGTCGGCCATTAGACAAAGTCTTCAGGGCAAAGTCTATAGGTCGGTTCTAAGAGGAGCTCTTCAGGTCAGCTACCAGGGAAGACTTTGATGAGGTCGGGTTCTTAGGAAAGATTTTCAGATCAGCCATCAGAAGAGACCTTCACGTCGTCCACTTCAGGTCGATTACTCGGAAAGACCTTCTAAATTGGACATTTCTCTATCCTCAATGTGTGATTAGGATTTTCACCCCAAAACAGACTCAAATAGACAAAAGTTAAAAATACAAGAATTGAAATGAACACTTTAAAAAAATATATAAAGAGATCAAAACAAAAAAGAAAAAATATATAGGACCAAAATAGTATTTAAATCTAAATCCAAAACAAATCACTGAGTATGAACTTGCATATATAAGCCTCTTTTCTGAGTCGTTGAGAGAACAAAATAGAGGAAAGAGCCGTCAGGATTAATTTTGTAGCAGTCGGGGGATTTTTCACCAGCCGATTTTGGAGTGTTTTGGTAGCTGATTTATGGCAGCGGCACTCGGTAAATTAGGGAGATCAAAATTATCTTCTTCGGGATATTGTGTCTTAATTATATTTGTGAATGTTAGAAGCCGTGACTTTATTGGAATCTTTAAAGATATTTTTAGAAGAGTTTATTATAATCTAATTTTTGACAATATTGATAAATTACACATATGACTGAAAGTGAGAACCAGTATAATTAATTGTCGTATTACCCGGTTTTGCATCTAATAAGTGTAATTTTTGTAATCTAAGTAGGTTTCTTTACTGGAATATTATTCATTATTGATCTCTCTGTTTAATCAAGAATCAACAACACTTCTTCTGACCTTTTTCAAGCATATCAGCTTCACATCCTATCCTTCAAAAAGTAATTATTTTTTTTCCTTACTCTGCTTAAAATAATTATTATCTATCTGACAACGACAGTATTTAACAACCTTCAAATATTCTATACAAAAATACATTGTTAAAAGCTTAACGCAAGGCTTTTTAAAATGGCTTGGACGACATAAAAATTATACGCTCTTAAAAGCCTCTAATTATTCTATACACAATATGCTTCATCTTTGTAATGCAGGAAACCAAGTAACTGGTTCGGCTACCTTGCTGTTAAGGGAGGAGCTGATAGAGTATCGTCGGAGAAGTCGAACACCGCATCCTCATTCTTAGTCAGCGCGTAGACGACCTCGACCATGCTCGGCCTCTTTGTCGGGTCCTTCTGCAGGCAACTAACAGCCACATTCATTATATCCATCAAACTATCCATAGGGCAAGATTGCTCCAAAAGAGCCTCATCAATCCAACTCCTCAACATCTCCAACTTCTCCTTCTCCTTCCCTTCTACAAACCCGCTCGCTCTCATCCATAGAACCCCTCCTTCCTCATCGATGGCCTCCCTCCCCGAGATGAGCTCGAGCAACACAACTCCGAATGAGAAGATGTCCATCTTCGTCGACACGACTCCATCCGCTATGTACTCGGGTGCTATATAGCCTTGAGTTCCAACAATATGCATGGTTATGGCGTTGCAGCCTGACTTGGCCAGCCCAAAGTTGGCTATCTTAGCCCTCATGTTTGCATCCAACAAAATGTTGCTGCTTTTAATGTCTTTGTGCACGACTCGTGGCCTCGTGTGCTCGTGGATGTAGAGTAGCCCGTTAGCGACGTCGATGGCGACCCTCAATCTCATTCTCCAACTCAATTTCCGCTTCTCGCTTCTGTGTAGCCACGAATAAAGAGAACCATTCTCTACATATTCATATACTAGGTAGCAGCTTGCATCTTCCGGGTCAATGCAGAAGCCTTCAAGCTTCACTAGATTACCATGGTTCACCTTCAAACCACATCATCATGTTAGAATCAACCAAATAAAAAAATAAAAAAAAAGTTACATGATTAAAATTACTCCAAATTGATTAAATGAATCACCAAGAATAGACCTTACAACGATAAATGACGTTCCAATTCAAACAATTAGCTAAAGTTAAGGTTCCACTTTTTCATGTCTCTCTCCCACATCAATTTTAAAATGGGAAGGTTAGAGGATAGGGAATAAATGAGATTAATTTAAGAGAATATGCCTTTAAATTAAGAACAAGAGTTAGATAGGTCACTCTCGTTAACTAATAGACTATGTATTAAAAAAATAGAGATTCGAATTTATATTATAAACTTAAAAGTTTATTTTTTTTTTCCATTTTTAAGAGGGTTATAAAGTATTTGGATAATGTTAGAAAACAGAGGTTTGTACTTGGCAGTTTTCATCTGTTGGAATATCCCCTCCCAAATGCATCCTAAAATAATGAAATCAATTTTTTTTTGTTTTTTGTTTTTTAATTTTGGTCTTTCAAGAACCATTTGAAAAACTATTTTTTTATTTTTTACTTTCAAAACTTCGTTTAAAAAAACGCATTTTTATAATAGTGTAAAAACTAACTGCATTATTCACAATCTCATGAATTGAGAAGAAATAAAATATCTGTTACATATAAAAAAAATGATAAATAAAAACAAATTTACCATTAGCAACCCGAACGTTTTTTTTCCTTTTTCCTAAAAACTAGAAAATTACACTTCTCTCTGTTGGGGGTTGGAATATAACTCAAACGCTTATTACTATTTTAAAGATCGATAATGTTATCATTCATCTCGCAATTATTGAACTAAAAAAATAATTTTTTTGAATGAACAAGGATACAAAAGGTCCAACTTTGAGAGATTATTCAACCAACCTTGCAAAAGGAAGTGGGAAAATGAAAGCACTCAATTGCCTATTTTCGTCTTTTTCCAATATTTTAATCAAAGCCATCGTCTTCTTTTTCCAAAACCTTTTAGTTGCAAGTTTTGAAAAAGTGGCTCTTAGAAATCACTGCTTTGAAAAAAGTTCTTTAAGGCTATTGGTTTTCATAGATTAGTTTACTAATCCAATATAAAACTAAGAGATAATAACATAAAACAAGTCAAATAGATAAGATAGAGTTAAAGGTTTAAAATTTTACAAAAATAAAATAATTCAAATAAGATCCAACTCAAATATAAGATAAAACATACTAAAAAAATCAAATTTATACTATACTAATTGTGATGGTTTAAAAAATACATATTAAATATTATGATATGGAATGAAATTCTAGGAAGTTTTTGTAAGCTACATTTTTAGTCATTCACATGAATTACATAAACTCATATTTCTCATCATTAACCTTAAAATTTTAAAATCCTAGCAAATATATCGGCAATCGTTACTATTTTCTCTTTAAAAAATTCAACTTGTTTCGAATTTTCCTTTAAAACCAATCTAAATTATAAATTTGCTCACTAACTTTAAGAATTAAGCCTATAAAAAAATTTATAATCTAGTCCATACGATCCATATACTTTATATGCTTTCAACTTCTTTTATAAAATATGTCTTTAGGATTAACTATTAATTCAATCGATTTAACACTTATGTGTCACACAATCTTTATTTTCTAAATATTATAACTTCGAGAAAATTTAGAAATGCATGACAAACGCTAGCAACAAAAACTATTAGGAGCAAAATGAAAAAAATTATGAATCTATTAGAGATTAAATAGCCATAATTTTTTAAGTTCCTACTTAATCTTACCAAAGAATAAAATAAATTTAAGTACAAAATCATACAAGACTCTAATTCCTAACTCCTAAGTAGATTCGGCATCATGAATATTTGGGGAAAAAATCAATGTGGTAATTCAAACTCGTAAGCGAAAATTAAAAATAAATAAATAAAAAAAAGTTACCTTCTGCAAGATCTTGAGCTGTTCATAAGCATTCCACTTCATCTTCTTGATGGCGTATTCAATTCCTCCAATACTGCCTTTATAAACCGAGCCCTGAATCAAGCTCCTCTCGCTGAACCCATCCGTCGCCTCCTTCAGCTCCTCGATTCTGAAAACTCTGTATTTATCCAAACAATCCGACACGTCCGCCATTAAATCCACCTCCATTATTCCCTTCCCATTATTCCCCTTCCAAATC